TCGTTAACGCCTGGGAGAGAGGGAGAGAGAGAGAATGAGAGAGAGAGAGAGTAGACAAACAGACAAACTGACAGACAGAGGGAGAGAGAGAGAGAGAGAGAGTGAGAAAGAGAGAGAGAGAGAGAGAGAGAGAGAACCTTCTAGGGAATATGATGACGCTTCTGATTGACACAGTAACCTTTAACATGCTTACTCAACGGGGATAAGGGAGAGGCAGAGAGGTAGGTATGTAATTCTAGGATCCTTTTGTTTGTTGTTGTAATTTCATATGCGACCCAGCATTAAAGATTGAAGCTTTCAGTTTGTATCATTTTTTTTCAAGAGTCTCAAATGCCGCATTTGTGTTATTAAAAATTGTTAGAGGAGGTATGTGGGTGGTTTGCGAGTGCTCTGGTTTGGTTTGCTCCTTCTTTCCTATCAAACACCTATCGTCCCTTCCTCTCCTCCTTTTTTGGGTTTGTTACTCCCTTGCAACCCCTCTAATCTGCAGCACTTTTATAACATAACCGCGATGTAAATGCCGTAAAACTCTTATGCGGGTAGTTGGCGGGTGCTCGCTCTGGTGTGGTTTGCTCATTCTTTTCTATCAAACATCTATCGTCCTTATCTCCCCTCCATCTATATTGTGTTTGTTACTCCCTTGTAACACCTCCAACCTTCGGCACGACTTATATGACCTTATTGTGTTGCAAGTGCCTCGAAACACTTACTAAAACTTTTTTTAAAACGCGTATGAAAAAGAGGAGGTCTGACTTGGTTGTGAGACAATGGTTTTGTGTGTTTTTGTACATACAGAGGTGCTGTCTTCTGGGATTGGGATGCACCACGCGGGCCTGGACACGCAGGATAGACATACAGTAGAGGAGCTCTTCAAGTCTTCTCGACTGCCTGTCTTAAGTAAGTAATAATATGTTGCTGTTGTTTTGTTTTGTTTTTGTTTGTTTGTTGTTTTATTTTATTTGGGGGATGCCTTGAATTTTGTTAAATTTGTTTTTGGGTTGGGTTGTTGTTTTTTTGTTGTGTTTTTTTTTGGGGGGGGGTTAATGGGGAGGGAGGCTTTTTTTTTCTTTATCCTTCCCCACCCTTTTTGATGTCTTATGATATATCAAGTGCCCCAGGGAGGATTATTATAGTTTGTAAACCTTCCTGTCAGTCTTATCCCATTCTCCCCTAACCCCCCCCCCATCTCTCTCTCTTTATCTGGCTCTCTCTCCCTCTTCCTCTCTCTCGCCCTGTCCTTCCATCCTCCCTCATTCCCTCTCTTCTCCCCCTCTCTCTTTCACCTTAGTTTTCATCAAGTCCCTTTTGCCTCCCCCCTTCCTCCTTTCTCTTTCTCTCTATTAGTCTCCTTCTACTTTCTCTTTATTATTGTTAAAGAAAAGACTCTTTGCTATAAATTTCTAAGACAAGCCATTAGAGATAAGCACTTGACAATCGGAAGAGATCAAATGTGGGAATCGTGATAAGATGCACTTAACAGAGATCACCACCCCCCCCCCAGGTTAATAAGATGTTAAACTGTCCTGAACTTAATTGCATGGGAAATTATTTTAGTGTTACATGAACCATCAAACAGAAGGGATACATGGCTGTAATTGGACCTTGTTATATTCAGCCCGACAGCCTTGCTCACATTTCTATTTGTCTAGTGGGTGGTTGGCGTGTGCTTAAGTGTGGTACGCTCCTTCTTTCCTATCAGACATCCACCATCCTTATTTTTCGTCCTTCTTTTTTTGTGTTTGTTACTCTTTTGTATGACCTCTAACCTCCAGCCCCCCCCCCCCGGGGGGCAGTGCCACTGACTGTAGTGTTTTTAGGCCATTCCCAAAGGGGGGGGGGGCATTTCTCGTTCAAGCGCAGTAGAATTGTAAATGGGCTGATTCATGTCACGCTCATAACTGTGCCTGATCTACAACTGGGAACTGCTGCTTTTTCTTTCCTAATCCTTACTATTGTCATTTTCCTCTACTTCTTTTGTATGTTTGTCACTCTCTTTTTGCTGTTGAAGCTAGAGAGGTGAGCAGAGTAAGTCTGATTCCCCTTTGAAGACTTCTCTGTTGACACCCACCCCTTGGCGCTCATATGACCTAATTGTGTCGCAAGTGCCGTGAAACACTTACTAAAACTAAATCTTATCTTCACCATTTTTGTGACCTTGTTTTGTCGCGAGCGCTGTAAAAGGCTTACTAAAACTAAAAACCATATTATGTTTCTCCCTGTGATGTCCCAAGTTTCCACAAGCACACTGGCGATGGGCGTGAACCTGCCGGCTCATCTGGTCATCATCAAGTCCACGTTCTTCTACAACATGGGTGTGGTACATGAGTACTCGGATATGCAACTGCTGCAGATGATTGGCAGGGCTGGACGGCCCCAGGTATGATCGTCTTCCTCTTCTTCTCCTTTTGGTTCATACTGTTTCCCCTCTCTCTATCTCATCCTGTCATTATAGACAGATAAGATCAACTGAGATAAATTAGGATCCGTATCTTCTCCATACGTCTTTGAGGGTTTTATATTGGCCATATTTCAGGTAGTTTATTTTATCGATGATTTTTGGTGATCTGCTTCTTGTTGCCTTTATTATAGTCCGCAAAGCGTGTACCTTCTCCCTTTGCCTTTTTTCTAAAGAATCAAATGCACTAGTGATTACAACGTTAAAAGTGAATGTAAGAAAATGGTACTTAGAGTTTATGCCATTATATCGTCAGTGTTGCAAACCATCGACAACTAGTTTTTGCTGTGTTCTTCCTTTCAGAGTATCATGAAATGCAAGACAATTATAAGCCTTGACCATAGTTATAAACTGCATTTTGGTGATGTTGAAAAGTGCATCTCTGACAGAGCTTTGAGAGGGTGTAAAAAAAAGTTTAATCGAAATTTGAACTTAGGTGGATTTCTTGCGACAGCAATGATATGTAGACTACACTATTTCTCTGATTTTTAAATATTTTTGTTAGTTTCTATAGAAAATTCCTGTGCTTTACAGACTGTACTGCAGAATGCTGCAATGTCTTGAAACCTGCATTTTAAAGATCTCAATAGCTCCTAAGTAAAAAGTGAAAGTGACCCCAAACTTCTATTTTTCCCCCAGTTTGACACCTCGGCTACTGCAGTCATCATGACAAAAATGTCTCTCAAGGTACTGGTCAAGGCATATAGGTATCCATTGGTGGCTGTTATTGTAAATACTTTACACCCACCTCAAAACAATGAAGAGATTGTTTTGGATGTAGGCTGCTTTGACTCACCCAGTGCGGGCTGTGTAGGAACTGCTTATCTATCTCTTCTCTACAGTTTTAGTAAGAGTTTTACGGCCCTTGCAATACAATAAGGTCATATAAGTGTTGTTCCTCTTCTCTTATTTAAAAGAATATTTTTAAAAAATAGTGTATGCTTTTGTTTCCTTCCAACCACAAAGACAAGTTATACATATATACTTAGAGGATGTTTGGTGTGGCATCCTGTTGAGTGTTTAACTCATTCAGGACTCAGGACATAACTATGTGTGTGTGTGTGGGGGG